TTTTTTTTTTTTTTTTTTTGCACGCCCGGGTACCCCGGGCGTCACACCCGGGTGCCCGGCCGGGCGTGAGAATCTTCCTAGCCTACAACCCTATAATTGTATAATTGTTTTCCCGAATTTGACATAATATTACGATTTTTAAAATATGAAAAACAAAAATCGATTAAAAAGAAAATAATAAAAATAAATAAACGAAAACCCTAGGCTACCAGCCGGGCCACCCTATTTTCCCGGACGGCATGGCCGTGCAAGGCCCAGAGAAGGTCCTAGCAAAAAAAATCAAAACAATCAAAAAATCAAAAAAATCCGAGAAAAAACTATGTTATGCAGAAAAATAAACTGAACAACGTTTGCCTCAGGGTCACTTCGAAATTCTTTACCAAATTTGAATTAAAAGTTAAAGTTAAAAAATAATTTTTATTTTTATTATCTTTATTTTCTTTTGGCCCCGGGCAACTGGCCCCGGGCCACTCTGGTAGCCTAGCGAAAAACAGGATTTTTTATTTTGTTTTCTTCACGACTGATATGGAGTCCTCCTGAAAAGGAAAGCAGGTAGTTTTTTTTTTTTTCATCTTCTTCTTCTTCTTTGCATTTTTTTTTTTTCTTTCTTCTGCAAGGAATATGAGTGTGAAAACCAATTTGCGAAATCACACAGATGTCCAAGTAGTCGTGTACAAGCAGAGAGCACAAAAGCACCAAGAATCCATCCAAAGAGAGCAATACAGTGCCGTAATGAGCTGATGTTCAAGCCCTCAGGCCAGACCAACACAGTATCCAATGTCGCTCTTCTCTGTCTGGCGCCCAGCGCCCAGCCTACCCTACTCGACTATCCTACCTACAGCTGTATTCACGCAACAGGCCCACTTCGACTCTCGAAGACCAACGTACATGACGTCAACACCATAGCGGACCTCTCTTCATGCACCAGGTACATATCTCATCACCCTCATCAGACCTTGATCACCCACACACTCGCCTCCTTCCTGAAGACCACCAATCACCC